GGGGGGGGGGGGGGGGGGTGTGTTGGATTGCAATACTTAGGAAGGAGCAAAACTATGTACCAACAGAAAAGTTTAGTTTTAGTTTTAATAGAGGTTTTACAGCGCTCGCAACTGCATAAAGTCATATGAGCGCCAGAAGATTAGAGCTGTTACAAGAGAGTAACAAATTTTAAAAAGAAGGGGAGATAAGGGCGATTGATGTTTCATAGGAAAGAAGTAGCAAACCACACCAGAGCACCTGGCAACCACCCACTAAACAGAAAAGTGAGAGGGAGAAGAAAGAGGCGTAGTTGTTGGATGTAGGTGTTGTTACACCCCCATCAATGCAAATTAGATCCTTTAGGAGGGCTTCAAACCTAACTGTCTAGACCAACCCAGACTTAGAGGGATTCAACATGCCAGCAGAAAGACTGAGATGCTCAATAAAAATTCTCCGCACTTAGGAACCGAATTCTGGCCTCCTGCAAGTGATGGTGAAGTGTCTGACCGCTACACCACAGACTCAGGTGGCAGGCACACAGGAAACAAGACACACACCTAACTAACGTCTCTACTCACCTTTCCTTTCAATTGACCCTGATGGGGCTGTAGGTAATCTGGGTCTCCTGAAGTCAAAATGAAATATCGTAATAATAATTATAATCATAACAATCATGATAATGATAATAGAAATAATACCAACAAAAATAATTATGAAGATGGTGAGATTGGTGGTGATGATGATGATGATGATGATGATGATGATGATGATGATGATGATGATGATGATGATGATGGTAATAATGACAATGATAATCATAATATTAATAATAATTATCATCATCATCTTTATCATCATCATCATCATCATCATCATCATCATCGTCATCATCATTATAATAATAAAATAATAATTTTAAAAAAGGAAAAGTAATAATAATAATAATAATAATTAATAATAATAATAATAATAATAATAATAATAATAATAACTTGAATGCGTACTTATCGCTGAGACTTGTACAAACCTAGTTCACTGTCAACATATCTGCCATAAGTCACATCAGCTGAAATAACACTTTTAGCATTTCCAAACCTCATTTAATCCAAAGTAGTCTTCAATACCCAAATCTACTGTGAATTGTGTGTGAGAATTATTATCAATATATATGAAAATAAATCCCCTCTCATCATTTATACTGAGCATCGAGTAGAAATCCTCAAAAGCTTGCCAACAGAATACAAATCTTTTTAATAGGAGTCAAAAGTAATTTTAAAAATGATAAAAAATATCACTTCTATAACACCCATTTCCTGCTAGCTCTAGGCACTTCACAATAAAAATAAGATCAACTTTCATGCATACCGGCCCGTTTAAAGAACAAGAATTCTTTCAAATACACAACAAAAACAAGCTGGCAAATTCTGTCAACCTATTTTTCCACTAGGGGCATGTGCTGTGGAAAAGCAATCCATTACTGTTTTCTTTATCAATATTACTTATTTCCAACTGAATACACAGGCGCACATGTTGTTCCTGTTTGCATTCAAAACTGCAGGTCTATCCACTTCCTCTTAGCAAATTGCATACAAATTCCTGCACGAAAACAAAAATAAACACAGAAAGAAGAAAAATTCTGTAAATACTGTAATATTGTCAACAAAATATTGCACTAAAACAAAAGTGAGAATAGAAGAGAATTCTCTTTATAACATAAAATTGTCACTAAAATGATGCACTAAAAAACAAGAGGGGGGCCAAAACACATCAAACCAAAAAAAAGGAGGAGAAGAAGGAGAAGGAGATGGAGAAGGAGAAGGAGAAGGAGAAGGAGAAGGAGAAGGAGAAGGAGAAGAAGAAGGAAGAAGAAGAAGAAGAAGAAGAAGAAGAAGAAGAAGAAGAAGAAGAAGAAGAAGAAGAAGAAGAAGAAGAAGAAGAAGAAGAACAAGAACAAGAACAAGAACAAGAACAAGAAGAAGGAAAATCCTGTTCTTTATAATTTCTTACATGGCAGCAATCCCCTCCGCCGTGGCGGCAGTACAATGGTTTTGTTGAAGACATCCACGTATCTCTGTGAGCCAGGCACGCAGATCAGCTGGGTCAGAAGCCTCTATCACATACTCTATTGTGCCTTCGCCCTGTCGATTGACATAACACAGATATACATTATTTTATTACAATAATAATAATAATAATAATAATAATAATAATAATAATAATAATAATAATAATAACAATGTAAAAGTAGTAGATGCAGAAGTAATAATAATAACAATCAAAATAATAATAATAATGATTTATTATTATTATTATAAAAATGCTGTTCATTTCCAAAGCACCCACTCCTGTGCATACATACATAAGCTCTTAAGTTTAACACATAATCTCAAGGGAAAAAAGGACTGACAGACAGAAAAAAGAGATTTTTTAATAAAGAAACCTGGTCTTCTAACCAGCAGCCCACCCAGATTCTTACATCTGGCTAGACATGCAACTAATACAATGAAAACGACATGCAGGGGTCAGAGATGCGTTGGAGCTAC